TATTAAAATAAAATTTATAAAAATAACATATAATATAATAATATAACATAACATAATACAATAATATAATTAATATAATTAATATAATAGAAATATTAATAAAATATTTTTTAAAATAAAATAAAAATAAACAGAAAATAAACATAAAAAAACCCCACAAAATAAACATTAAAAAATAAACATAAAATGTCCTCTCAGGACAGATGGCCAGGACAAAACAGGTATAATTTAGAGTGGAATAACCCCATAAAATTATAAATTATTGAATAATTTCTGCAGAATGCTCCAAGCAATGGGATTTAAACCCCTTCAGGATGAACCCTCTCCTGCCCAGCTCCCCACACCATCAAATCCAACTCAGTTTGTTAATTTATCCCCTAATTACCGCTCAGGGTTTGCGTTCAGCTCTTTGTTTTTTTCCTGAGAGCTCTGCACAGTTAATGAGATTGAGGAGATCCAAGGGCTGGAGAAGTGTCACAGCCTGAGCCAGCTGGGTTTGTCACACAACAGACTCACCACCATCCAGGGCCTGGAGAATTTGCCCATCAGAATCCTCAACCTGGTAAGAAAGAAATCATTCCTGATGGTTTTCCTGCTTCTTATCAATATATCAATATATCAATACCTTAATGAAGATAATTACAGAACAAATTCCCGGAGGTCTCTGCAATATTGCTTATTTTTTTATTTTTTATTAATAATACAAATGTTGCGCAGAAACACAACCCAAACCTATTTTTGATGCAACCCAGTTGCTCTCAAAACAACAGGCTGCTTTTAAACAGCTTTTTCTTTGAAATAAGAAGTGAAAAATATTTAGTGGGACTTAAAAAATAAGCCCCAAAAAAACTATACAGGGCTCCTTTTGGCTACATTAGTTTTAAGCACCCATATAAATATTTGAAGTGAAGTGAATGAATCCCTTATCAAGAATAGAAATATTCTTTTCCAATCCTTTTTAAAAATTTAAAGGTTTTTCTTCTGTTCTGTAGAAATGGATATAGAAAATACCAACTGAGATTGGCCCTTGGCTGCTGCAATATTCAGGGAAGGTGTTCACATTTAGCATGTTTTGAATAATATATTCAAATAGTGTTAATAAAATTATATTTCAGATCTACAATACCTCCAGGAGCTCTCAGTGATTCCCTCAGTGGCAATAAATTGGAATTTGTTCTCATTTTAGTGGGGAAGATTAACTCAGATTGGCCAAATCCCATCAAAATGTTCTGAAAGGAGCTCCAGGAGTGTGAGGATCTTTTTTTTCTAAATACTTTGAAGCTCTTTACTCTAAATTTGAGCCACAGCAAGTCCCTTCACCACTGATGTCCTGGTTTGTTTAAAGGTCTTACAGGAATTCCCTTGGGAATCTGCTCTGTCCAATGTAGGGAGATTGATAACAATTAAATCTTATTAAATATGGACACAATCCTCATTTGGGGTTCTTAGGTGCTGACATCACTAGTGATAACACTGCTTGTCTTTTTTAATTAGCCATGTGGAAATTATGGAAATTGATTTTAGCAGAGCATTTTCTTTGGCTAATTGGAATAAAATGCAGTTCTCTTTTTTTTTTTAATTGTCATTTTTATCCCCTCTCTTCCCAGTGATTCATCTTTCTCTCCCACTTCCCCTTGAGCTTTTTAGGCTGAAAAGAATAGAAAGTTCTGAAGTTTGGGAAGAAGACTTCAAAACTTGTAAATTCTGCCTTGCTGTACCAAAAACCCCTTTATCCCACTCATGTTTGCAGGGAAAAAATTAAAATGAGAAGCACAGCTCTAATGAACTGGATTCTTAGGAATTTTCTGCTTTTAAAGGATCTATCCCCAAATCCCTTTTGTTCACAGAATTTTCTCTGCACCTCTGGCTCAGCATTTTGCAGCTCCAGCTCCGAGCTGCACCCGATTAACCAGAGGTCTAACGAAGCTCAGGAACAGAGAAGGAGCCTCCACGCTATTAATAACCTAATTAAATATTTAAAAGTCAGGAAAAATGTCAAGGACAGACAACTGGATTAACATTAGAGTCAGCTGGCTTATTTATTTCAACAGTTCCTAAATATTTATTAATAGAAGATGAGGCTTCCAAGCTTTTAGCATAAGATGAGGCTGATGGCAAAATAAAATTTGCAAGGTTATGGAGGAGGAATCCTGTGGAGAGGCCATCTGGGAGTGTGTGGCCACTGGGACAGGGATGAGCAAGGAATTGTTATCCCTGCTTGGAGTTAGTGGCAGAAATGATTTGTGGGGCCCTGAGGAATGAAACCATCTGGAGGCCAGTGAGAAACCAGGGCCTCGTTTGAAATAACTCTGAGGGGTGGTTATGGGTTCTCAAAACTTTGGGGCGTTTCATGTGGGAAAGTCTGGAAGAATTTACAGGAAAATAGGTTTTTTTAAAAAAAAAAATTATCTTTTAAACATTTCTGTGCCGTCCCTGACAGTGAATGGAGCCTTTACTTAATGTGCATAAACACGGATTTACGTATTCCAGAGAGATTTTTGTATCAGAGGATTGTGGAATCATGAAAAGATTGGGCTGGAGGGGACCATAAAGATCATCCAATGCCACCCCATCCATGGGCAGGGACACCTCCCACCATCCCAGGCTGCTCCCAGCCCTGTCCAGCCCAGCCTTGGACATTCCAGGGATCCAGGGGCTGCTCTGGGAATTCCAGCCCAGCCAGGAATTCCTTCCCCAGATCCCATCCATCCCTGCCCTCTGGCAGTGGAAGCCATTCCCTGTGTCCTGTCCCTCCAGGCCTTGTCCCCAGTCCCTCTCCAGCTCTCCTGGAGCTCCTTTAGGCCCTGGAATGTGTTGAAAGCTCTCCCTGGATCCTTCTCCTCGTCAGGGGAACATTCCCAACCCTCAGCCTGTCTCCTCTCCATCCTACCTTAATTTTTTCATTATTTATTCTGTAATCACAAGTGTAAATAGAGCCATGATTACAGAGGGAAATTCAATGTATTTATGTATATATATTCCATAATTTTCCATGCATCTCTGTGTTCTAAATTTTGAGGTGGATAGTGACAAGAGTGTTCTTGGGCCAAGATCAGCTTTTAAAAAATGTCAGAGCTCTTTTTATTGCTGTTTTCTCTTCAAGGTGAGTTGGAGATAAGCTAATCAGGAGAGAGCTGATTCCTTTATTTCCTTGAGCAGGAATGCGACATACCAGGATGTGCATGAGGCTAATGCAGAAAGGCCTATTTGTGACAGGATTCTCCACAAGAAAGGACCCTAAAATCCAACAAATAGCTCTTTTTTCCCCTCAGAAATGTTGTTTTCCATACAGGTTTATTAACAGGAAGGTAACACATCAGGAGGCTAATCCATAAAGGCCTACTTGTGACAGTATTCTCCATGACAAAGAACCCTCAAATCCAACAAATAACTCTTCTTTTTTTTCCCCTCAGGAATGTTGTTTTCCATAGAGGTTTATTTGCAGTTTCTCTGCTTTCATTTTTTGTCGTTTTTTTTCCTCTTAGAGCTTTAACCAGATTGAGAAGGTGAATGGGCTGAAGACCTTGAAAGCTCTGCAGAGGGTGGATCTGTCCAAGAATAAAATCAACAGTCTGCAAGGCTTGGAGGAGCACAGTCTACTGGAGGTGATCAACCTGGAGGATAACCAGGTACCAGGCTGAGCTCAGCCTCTTCCAGCAACCCAGAATATTTTAATTTTTTATCACTCAGCTCCTTGAAGGGCTCCAAAAAATCACTCAGCACTGCAAGAAATGAATATTAGAAAAGACAAGATATTTTCTTTCTGTGTTTCCCACGTGGATTCCTGGTGTCCTCTCAGCCCTTATTTAATATTTTAGGTGGGTTTGTCTCCTCTCAGGTCCCACTTTAACGCTCTCACTCTTTGAGAATTCCCAGTGCTCCCCTGGCTGGGTCAGACAGGGATGAGTTTGCAGCTTTTCCAGCTGGATTATTCCGGAGGATCTTTACTTACACCACAGCTCTGCTGCTGCCAGGCCTCAGGGGGAATGGTTAATATCTCTCAGCTCAATTTTATGACCTCAGATTCTTCTGTGCTCTCAGCTGGAAACTCCCTGCAAGGCAGAACTGCAAGAACTCTGTTAAAAAGTGGATTTTGTTACACAGCACAATTTTCTGTACTGGAAGTACAGTGGCACCATCCGACTCATTTGAATTTTGAATGCCAAACCAAATATCCACAGTAATTTTGATATTGATCTTCCAGCATCTTTAACTGAAAAAAAAATAAATTTGTGAATCACTCTGACGTCAAAGACATGCGAAAAAAGAGATAATCTAAGAAAATAAAAATATAAAGCAGCAGCAAAACATTTTCTGTCATTTTTTTCCCCCCTAGAAAGAAGATTTAATTCAAGTCATTGTGGATTCTTTTTCTCCCTGTGTTTAGGTTGACATTTAAAGGTACCTCAATTGCAGCAGACAGGAAACTCTCTAATGGTGTGGTTGTTATTAACATTAATAACACCACTTCCACTGCCTTATTTATTTTCCACTGTTCTTCACAGCACATAAAAACTCTTAATTTCACCTCATCAAAACTTGCCTCTTTGAATGATGTCATTGAAACTGTTTAATGAGTCACCTTTTTTTGAAAGTTGCTTTCTGAAGGATAATTTAAAGGGGAGTTTTAATTGATTAACACGTGGAGTTACTTCAGCTCACTCAGGATGATCTTAAATTCTTGGGTTTTTAAAAAATGGGCACAACAGGTTTAGCTGCAAATGTCCTTTGTAAACATTCAGTGAGTTTCAACTGTTGATGGTTGAAATCCTGGGATTTATTTAAGAAATCCACTAAAATCACATTTAACTTCATCAAAACTGACCTGGGTGGGGTTGTTCTTACCTCAAAGTGAGTTTTGAGTAAGCTGTGGTTGAGGTTTATGTTTTTAGACACTTTAAAAGGATTGAGTATAAATTAGGGAGAATCTGGAATCTTTTCGGTTCAGTTGGGTTTTCAGGATTTAAAAGGGGCTGTGAAAGAGATGGAGAGAGGCTTTTTACATGGAAAAGTACAGGCAGGAGAAAAGGGAATGGTTTTACACTAAAAGAGGAGAGATTTAGATTGGATTTGGGGAAGAATTCCTGGCTGGAATTGTGGGGAGGTCCTGGAATGGAATTCACAGAGGAACTGTGGCTTCTTCTGGATTCCTGGGAGGGTCCAAGACCAGGCTGGAGCAGCCTGGGATGGTGGGAGGTGTCCCTGCCCATGGATGGGGTGGCACTGGGTGGGTTTGAAGGTCATTCCAACCCAACCCATTCCACATTCTTCCCAAACCAAGAAAACCAGGTTTCCTTGGGCCACACAAACCTTGATTCACCCCCATAACTGAGTGTCCAGCTTTCCTTCGTGCACAGATGAGACCTCAAACAGCTTGGACCCTCTGGACCCCCTCATTTTTCCCTCTGGACACACCCAAGGACAAAAATCCTGGTCCTTTTTAGCTGCAAGTTCTATAGGACAAACTTGAACTTCAGTGAAAAGAAACTCTTAGATGGATTTTTTTTTAAATTTTTTTTTTATTTTTTAAACTACCCAGCCAGAGCACGAATTTAACTGCAGAATTGCCTCACTTGAGCCCATCAGTACATTAAAAGCCAAATGCGTTAGGGCTTGACATTTGAAAGAACTGGGAAAATGCAGGTGCTTGGAAATTGCTGTGTGGATTATCCTGCTGCTCCAGCTAAGAGCCAGGTTGTCTCCTTTTGTGCCTCATGGAGTGCAGTTAACATGTAAACCCCTTTTGTGATTTATAATAATTTTTTTTAATGCCCAGATTTGAAGAGCAGGCATTAAAACACTTCATTCTCCCCGTGCTGTTCTCACGGGTTGTGTTGCTGCTGATTTACGCTCGGTTTCTGTCCCTGCTCAGGTGGCTGAGCTGAGTGAGCTTAAATGGATTGAAGATCTGCCTCTCCTCAGGATTTTAAATCTTCTAAAAAACCCTCTGCAGGTAAGAAAGAATCAAAAATGAGAACCTAAACGTGGTGGTTTGGATCCTTTCAGCCCCAGTTTCTGCCTCTAGAAGAGGACAGGTCATTTGTCTTGAGTGATCCAAGATGATTCTATCCCAACTCTTGTCTCTTGTGATTTCTAAATTTTGTGTGAACTTTACAGTCATTCCCAATGCCAGAAAGAAGAAAAATATTAAGAGTTTAATTTTTTTCTTGTAATTGCCAGGTTTTTATTGGCTTTTATGAGGCTGGTCTGTCATGGCACACGATGAAATTAGCAGGAAAAAGTACCTGAAATAGACTTTTCCTGGTTTTCAATGATCTGAAAGGCTTTTCCTGCTGAGATGTCCTTCTCCTAAGCAAAGTCTGATCAGATCCCTTTCCATTTTTAAATTCCCATCATGTCATTTTGAATATTATGGTTACAAGGTTTTGAAGAACTCAGCTCTTGCTGCAGCAGCTGAGCTCATGAAGGGTCAGTTTGGGCAGTGTCTTGACACCCTTCAGGGTAAAAAACCTTTTATTTTCCAATGTATTAAGGCAAATTTAATTTTAACCAATTGGAATTAAATATTGGCTGGATTAAATTAAGTATTTTCTGTCAAAATGGAAAATTTTTCCCTCAGGAAGAGGAAGGTTACTGGCTCTCGGCGATTTTCATGTTGCTCCAAGTCACAGAACTGGATCTCAAGGAGGTTTCTGTGGAAGAAAAGGTAAGCAAACACCATTTAATTCTGGAAGTTTTCTAAATAAAGAACATAAAATCCAGGCTTGCAGTTGTAGCAAACCTCCTCCCCCAAAATCCCACTTAGCCAAAATTCTGTTGGATTGGAAACCTTTCCCTGCTGTGGTGGATTTTGGTGTCTGTGGTGGACCCAAGCCGTGCTGGAGCTGCTGTATTTCAGGGAATTATCCTTTCAAAACCATCCTTTCAGGGAATCCATTACTCCCAATTTTATCTGTATAAATTTGGGGGGTTTTGTTCAGTGCCAGGCTCTCTCCATCCTGAACACACAGATGATAATAATACCAGAGTGCAATTTTCCCCAGCTGCCCAAGATGTTGATCTTATTCTTTATGTGCCAACCTGTTTTCATCTCAATACAATTTTGAATATATCAGTGAAATTTTTCCTTCTCTATGGGCTGTAAAAGTGAACCTGAGGGACTGGTTTTGACCAGCATTTCACTTCTGAGAGATAAAAGTTGTTTCACAAAATCCTCTCCTCGTGTTATTTCAGGGTGCCTCCTCTAACCTCAAGAATTCTCTTGCCAAACTGAATTTGGAGGCAGCAGCTCTCTGTCTAACACGAAATGGATGTGCAGGAATGTGGGTTAGATCAGGAATGTCGCTTGGAAGTGGAATTCCTGCTTGTCCAGCTCACCATGCGATTCCCACTGTGGAGAATAAATATCTCTTGCAGTGAAAGGAGTTCCTACACTTCCTTCAGGATACCGGGATGTGCTCCCAGCCGCTAATTCAGAGCAAAGGACCAAATTAGAGCTAAAATGAGATTACTTCACTCCTCCTGAATCGTGGGGATGTGGAGTTCTGAGTTCTGGGTGTTTCCCCTCCGATTTCCCCGCGCTGCTGGCTAACGCAGGCCTGGCTGCCACACAGCCCTGGGATTCCAGGCTGGAAAGGACCTCATGGATTGTCTGTTCCAGCCTTTCTTGGGAAAAGCACAATCAATATAAATCCATGTCCAGCCCAAAAGGCAACCAGCATTGGTGAACCCACCACTTCCCTGGGGAAATAAATTCTCATGGAATCCAGGAGGGTTTGGGTTGGATGGGACCTCAAAGCCCTGCCTTGGACAGGGACACCTTCCACCATCCCAGCTTGATCCGAGTCCCATCCAACCTCCTCTTGGTTATTCCAAAGGCCAATTGGTCTCATTTTGGAATTGGAAATTTGGAATTGGAAGTTTTCTGTCTCGTGTCCCACGGGCTTTGCCTCGGTCATTCTTTAATTATTTCTGAGTGTGTGGTGTTAATAACCCCCAAAATACGCAACTCCTTAGTGGTCAGCAGAGCTTCCAACAGGATGGATGGAGGGAATCCTTGGAGTCTGAGTTCTCTCCCTCCCAGGAAAGGCAGGAATGCACTGTCAGGGGTCTGCTCGCTCTGTTAATGCCTATCCTGTAATAAACGAGTGGCTTCAGTCCCCAAGGATTTGAGTTTGGCACCTTCCACCAGCACTGAGAGGATGCAAATGAACGGGTAATTAAAACCTCAGCAAAACTCTTCTTGCATCCTATGTGGCATCGTGTTTTCTTCCCAGGAAAAGGTTGAATACATTAAAGACGGTGAGCTGTATCTGGCTGCCTTCCATCCATCCCTCAAATCATCCTTCAATCCCCAGGAAAGATTTCTGCTCCTGACCCTCGGGAGCACAAAGCCATCCTGACTCCTGGTGATCTGCCAAGCCTTTTGCAGCTGGAAACAATTCCATCACTTCTCCCTTTCCTTTCCCCGCCCCCCGCCCCCCACCTAAATTTTGGGAACAGGTTGCTGCTGTGAATAAAGGGGACCCTCCTCCAGAGGTTGTGGCTGCTGAAGATCACAGGACTCACCTTTCGTACAACTTTCAGCGGCCCCAGAGAGTCCTGGACAGGTGAGTTCATTTCACAGCTGCTCCTGACGGTGGCACTCAAGTAAAGCAGAATTTTGTCACGTTCAGAGGGACATTTTTCCCGAGGAGAACTCCTGCAGGATTCTGCCAGCAGCCTGAAAACGAGGCAAATCTGATTTGGTTCAAATTGATTACGTAACGAAGCTCTTCGTTCACCTCTAAAGTCTGAGACAGATTGTCCACAGCTCCGCTGCCTTTCCTCAATCTGTTGGAGCAGATGGGCACTCTCACCACAAACGAGACATGCAAAATCCCTCCCCATGCCCAAAGGCACCAGAAAAATCCCTGGAGGCAGCAGAGAGCTGGAAAACTTCTCCTTCCCCTTCTGTTGATGCCTTCTCTCCCCACTGCTGGCATCCTGGTGGGATAAAATGATTTTATTTGGGGCGCATTTTGAGTTCATAAGGGGAAATTTCCACGTTTTACCAGAAGAAGATGATTCCATGGATATCATGGAAGGGAGAAGCAGGTGGATGCTCTTTTCCCAGCATCACCATTCCCAGGTGACTTCTCCCAGTCTCGTTTCTCCTCCGAAAAATGGAATTTTTGCTGCTCTGCAGGTGTGTCACGATATTTGAGGAATTCTTGGAAAATTCTTCCACATAATCTGATGGAATAGACTATAAGTATATGTGGATTATTGTTATATTGGCTGGGCACTGAGATCAACCTTTGTGCCCCGTTTTGGTGCTGAATTAATTAAAAACTGAGTAACCTGATAGAAAATCCAGCATTTGGTAGCTCAGAAATTTGTATTTTTATTGTGACTCTGCATTCTGAGATCATTCACAAAAAACAGGAGCCTTCCCAGTTGTGACAACAGCTCTGAGAATTCTTTTAAAAACAAAACCCCAAAGATTTATCTTTTTATTTTTGCAAGGTTGGAGATTTCCTAAAATAAAAACACGAAATTGGCTTATTTTTCTTCTTAAAAAAAAACCAAAACCCCTAAGGTTTTTTTTTTCCCCCGAGGGCTGTGTTTAAATATTTGCTTTAAATATTTGCTTGGTGGATTTTTAGATTGATGGAAAGAAGGAATTCTGCCTTCTGCCAGAGGAAGTGTGCACACAAACACAAAAACATCGGCCCAGCCTTTGTGGGACTGCCCCAAAAAATTGTTAATGATGCCTCGAACATTGGCCCGTGCTCAGCTGGAAAGCACTCCAGAGTCATTAATGAAATCTTCCTAATTATTATTGCCTTTTCCACCCAAAAAATGCTTTTTGGAACCAGATCGGGGGAGTTCATTTGCATCTCTCTTTCTCCATCAGGTTATAATTAATTCTGGGTTAGTGATATCTTTATTATTACAAATAAAACCTGGAAACAAAGCAAAAAGTTCTATTTTTGCCTGCCCCACAGGCACAAAACATTGAATTTCCTTTTCTTCCCTCTCTCAGTTTGTGATTTTACCAGTAATATTGTGAATATTTTGGGTATTTTCACCTCCTAGAGATGCAGGTGACATTTGAAAATGTTGCTCAGCTACACGGGGAGCAGAAATTTAATTTCATCTCCAGTCTGTTGGGCCAGGACAGGACGATTTTTGGTACCTGGCTGTTGAGGAGAAACCCATTCAGAGAAAGACCCAGAGCATGGTTCTTCTTGACAATTAAAATAATTAGTCATTGGAACAATTTACCGAAAGTTCTCCACAACTGGAAGGTTTTAAATTCAAATATGATCTCACGGAACCTCAGGTATTGGGCCGGAAACAGGAACTAACTTGGAGAATTCCAAGTGGGATGAGGGGAGGATGATTTTGATCATCAAAACAATCCCTTCTGGCCTAAAAGTTTATTAATCTTTCACAGCAGTGCCCACAAAGACAAAGAAATTTGAATTAAGAGCCCAAAACTCTTTGCCAGAAGCTGTAGGAACCCCCAAACTTTTAGTGTTGAGAACCAAGAAGCGGTGATGGAATGAAAGACAGGATTATGGAAATGTTCTCCCTGTTCTCCTGCTGAAATCCCAAATCCCAGGAACCTGAGGGTACGGGGAATTGGGAATTTCTTGAAGAGAATTTGAATTTTGAGGGTGATCTTGTGGAGCGATGGTTTATTGGGTGTAACATGTCCTGGTGGAAGGAAAGATGCCAGAGGAATTCTGCATTTCCCAAGCCTGAAACAGGAACTAACTTGGAGAATTCCAAGTGGGATGAGGGGAGGATAATTTTGATCATCAAAACAATCCCTTCTGGACTTAAAATGTATTAATCTTTCACAGCAGTGCCCACAAAGACAAAGAAATTTGAATTAAGAGCCCAAAACTCTTTGCCAGAAGCTGTAGGAACCCCCAAACTTTTAGTGTTGAGAACCAAGAAGCGGTGATGGAATGAAAGACAGGATTATGGAAATGTTCTCCCTGTTCTCCTGCTGAAATCCCAAATCCCAGGAACCTGAGGGTACGGGGAATTGGGAATTTCTTGAAGAGAATTTGAATTTTGAGGGTGATCTTGTCAAGGGATGATTTATTTGGTGTAACTTTTTCTCCTAGAAGGAAAAATGCCAGAGGAATTCTGCATTTTCCATGCCTGGAACAGGTCCTGTGCTGGGAGAAAGAAAAAAAAAATCTTTATTTTAAGGACTGGGGAGGCCCTGTCACAAGATTTCCAGAGATTTTTAAATTTTTACCTTTAGTTTTACTTTTTATTTTACCTTAAATTTTTTCCCAAATTTTTACCTTTAATGTATCATGCTAAATCAGCTTTTTGGGGTAATTATATCCATATATTCTGGTAGGTGACAGAGATGCTTTGCTGCTCCTGAAATAGAAGTAAAGCCACGATTTTGGAATTTTTTTCCTCCTTGATTATATTGGAATGTTGTCCTTATTTCTTAAAGAAGGAGTTATTTGTTGGAAGGATTGTAAAATAAATTTATTCTATTTTCAGGTGTCTGTGTTCACCTGTTTTAAATCCCATTAAATGGACAAAGAGGCAGTTTTCTTTCACTCAAAATTTAGTTAAAACTACTTAAAAACCACTGATTTGGAACTATTTCAATTATTTATGACATATTTCCAAGTGGCCCAATCTTAAAAGCTACCTGAGATTTAAAAGTGAATTGAAAAAATTTAAAAATTAATCTAAAATTCTGTTTTTATCTGCCTAAATAAATTGCTGGACACTCATAAGTGCAGAAATCCTCTTCATTCTCCTACTTAGAGCTGGAAGTGGAAAATCTGAATTTAATCCTCAACTCAGCGTGGAGAAAATGGAGAATTTTGTATTTTTGTGGTGCTTTTATTGTGGTTTTATTTCTGTTCAGTGGAGTTTTAAGGATCTGAGTGGATTTTTTTTATGTTTAATTGAAGAATTTTTACACTTTCACCTGGCACAGGACATGGAAGTCAACGAGGAGAGTGGAAAAATCTGTAGGATTGAGTTTATTCCAGGTTTATTTCAGTTATCCTGCTCATTAAAATATTCCCATCTCTAAAAAAAAAACCTCAGCAAACCTCAGCCTTTTAGAAAAGGCTGCAAATCAGGTGAGATCAGAGTAAAAATAACATTATTCCTTCCAAAAAAGAGGGTTTAATGCAAATTTTTTTGCTATTTTTACGTTCAGAGCGCCTCAATTTTTGTCTGCACTGCGAACGACGTGAGATGAGTTGAAGGGGTGATAAAATCTCTGGAAAGTTTTATAAAAAGCTGCTGAAATTTGATTTTTAGGTGATTTAATGCCCTCTGGTTTGCCTTTCTTGCAGCACTTTGCTTGATGCTGATGACCCCTACCCCATGCTGGTGTTACTGGGCCCTCTGGCCTGTGGGAAGAGGCAACTTTCTCTCAAAATCTGCAAAAAACTCAAGAATTTCTTCAGATTTGGGTAAGTTCTGCTTCCTGAGGTTAAAAAAAAAACAAACATCAAAGGATCAATGTTGGAATTGTTGCTGGTTTGGTTTGTGGGTGGTTTTTTATTTTTGGAAATGAATTAAAACCAAAGAATTTTGTTGCATTTTTTTCTCTTGCCAAGGCTTGGCTGCCTGAAGTCAATGGGAGAAAAGATATTTAAGTTATAAATTTATTTTCAAAAATGAACAGCGAAGAAACAATAAGCAAAACAAACAAGAAATGGAAAAAACCCACAAACCAAAACAGAAAAGAAACCAGGAAAACCCAAACAAACAAAAAAACCCAAAAAAACCCCAAAACCAAACAAACAAAAACCCCATAGACCAAAGCAAAACAAGCAAAAAACCAAAAACAAAAACTAAAAACCAAAAACAAAACCAAAAAAGATCCCAAAATCCAAATCCCTGTAAGAAAACCCAAATAAACAAAAAACCACAACTAAATCCCTCTCAAAAAAACCACAAAAAACCAAGAAAAAACCCAAAAAAACAAACAAAAAAACCCCCCAAAAACCCCAAACAAACAAAAAACCACACAAAAAACCCCCAAAAACCCAAAATAAACAAAAACCCAAAAAACTTGCTCTGAATTCCCTTATTCCCCATTTTTTATGGCACTAATTTATCCATTCATTTTTATTTTTAAGGGAAACATCTGTTACGTCACTGTAAAAATTCCTTTTTTTTCCCCCCTTTCTTTAAACCCATAGTTTGAAAATGACAAATTCAACTCCAATTAAATTTTTCCAAACATTCTGTCAGGGTATTTTTTTTTGTTGTTGTTATTATTTTTTTAAGAGCATTTTTATATTGTGTGTTTTATTCCCTACAACTTCCACCCATGAAGGGGGGGGAAAAAAAATAAAATAAAAGGGAGAGACAGAACCTTAACAGAGCAGAAAATTACATCCATAAAGCAAAGTTGTATTTTTAATTATTCAGGGGAGATTTGAGCAGTTTTATGGCTTGATATTTCAACCATTCTGCTCATTAAAAATGGATTTTATGCAAGATACTCTGGCAGTCTGAATGTAAACATGGCCCTGCAATTAAAAAGGGCTGAAATGTGTAAAAATTGCAGGAAATCGAGTGAAATTGGCCCCTCCAACCATCTGGCTCGTGCTCAGCAGTGACCTTTGGAGCTGGGTGTGTTTTGATCCCAGAAAAAATCAGGGAATTTTACAGAGTCTGTGTGGAACTCACTGCTCTCATTTTTGGTTTTTTTTTTGGGAAAAAAGTGCCACCCTCTGATGCTGACACTGAATTTCTTTAAGGTTTTCAGCTCAGCTCTCTGGAATAAATGAGCAGAAATGGCAGGAAAAAAATCTGATTTTTAAACAGAACGAGAGCCACTGAATATTTCAGGCTGAATTTCTTACCTGCACTAATTATCTGATTTTTGGGGGTTCTTTGGGGTTTTTAATGGGTTTTTAGTGTTTCACCCTGGTGGCTAAATTTTATCCTCATGGGATAGCAGGGAATTCCTTTCCCAGCCTTTTACCCCACTTTAATGGCAAAGCAGAAATGAGGAGAAAAAACTGATTTTCAAACAGAACGAGAACCACTGAATATTTCAAGCCCAAATTATTACCTCCATTAATTATCTAATTTTTGGGAGAGTTTTTTGGGGTTTTTTTAGTGGGTTTTTGGTCTTTCACCCTGGTGGCTGAGCTTTATCCTCATGGGATAGCAGGGAATTCCTTTCCCAGCCTTTTATCCCTTTTAATGGCAAAGCAGAAATGAGGAGAAAAATCTGATTTCCAGACAGAAGGAGAACTGGTTGAAATTGTTCCCTGCATTAATTAGCAGGGATTTTGAGGGATTTCTGGTGGGTTTTAGTGTTTTATCCTGGTGGGAAGCTCAGGTAGCTGAGGTTTTTACTTTCCCTGCCTTTCATCCCACTTTCCTCCCCAGTTTCAGGATTGTTTCTCCCCTTCCCATTAGGGATCTGTGGAAAAATGGGATTTTTGAGCTCTTTCTTAACCTCACAGTCCATCCCAGCTCCTTTCCCACATTTAGGATTTGACTTTCTATCATCCCCCGAGCTGACAGAAGTGGGGAAGAAAAATGGATTCATCATTTCTCAGTCCCAGGCTGCTGTGACAGCCTCAGCTCAGGCCAGCCTGGGCTGGGCATGGATTTATAGCCAAAATACCACGTTACATTTAACTTTTTTCGGTGTATTTATGGGTTAATCTTTCAAAAACACAGCGTTAGGGGTGTGATTTGCACCTCTTTCTATTTCTCATATTTCTTTGCTGCTTAAAAATGAAATGATTTCCAGTTTTCCCTCTTTCCCCTTTTCCTGCTGCTGTTCCAGGGATTGAAAACAGGTTATTTCTTTATTGTCCCATAAATCTCCCAGGCCCTGTCACACCACCAGGACAGCTTATTTTGGGGAGGAAAACAGACTCGATTATTATTTCATTTCTCAAGAAGAATTTGACAAAATGGTGAAAGCAGTAAGTACCTGACTCCCGTCCTTGCAGCTTTTTTCCTGCTCCCACAGTGAACTCAACTTCTCTGTCCAAGCCTGGTTTAATTTTCATATTAAATTAAATTTATATCCATTTATAAATTATATTAATTTATAAATTTATATTTATTTATAAATATATATTTATATATTAATATAATATAGAAATATAATATATTTATTTATTTATATTAATTTATAAATTATATTAATTTATAAATTATTTTAAATTTATAAATTATATTAAATAATAATTATTATAATTTATAAATTATTTAAAAGAATAATTATAATTTATAAATTAAATTTTTTATATTAAATTTGTGCCTGGGTGTGAATGCTTATTCACTCTCAGTTGTGTTTTTAAGTTCACAGACAGAATCCACCAATTTCTTGTAGATTTGTGCTGTTTTTAATCCTGTAAATGAATTCATAGAATTTACAGAAACCACCAAGAAGGTCACTGGGGAATATTTAAATAGTAGTATAACACAGAAATAAACTTATTTTCTGGCACAAATGTAGTGTGGGGTTTATTGTTTTTATTTTTTCAACATTTTCCAGCAACCCTGCAGGGAATTCCTTGGAAGTTTAGCAAATCCCCCCCTAAAGGAGTGATGTTTCTCTGAAGGATTTCTGCCTCCAGCTGCTCTTTTTGATGCCTTTTGCAACAAAACTTTGCCTTTAAAAGCCTCAGCAGAGCCCATTATTTGTATTTATACAAAAAGGGGAAACCAGCAGAGCCTGAAACAACTGAGCTGTCCCTTTGTGACAATTACCAAGGAGTTTAATTTTAAAAACATCAAATAATCTGCTTCCATCTCTCTGGGGCTGCAGAACTTCGAAATGCCCCGTCCAATCCCACATTTTCCTTGCAGATGTGTGGCAGCTGTTCCTTTCCCTTGGAATCTCCCGTTTTTCCATGGCCTGGCCGCGTTGTTTGATGTAAAATCAGCAGAAGGAAGCGCCTTGCTTTGGATTTTCCTTCCCAGTGGGAAGGGATGACCCAGGAATGCTGTCAGCTCCTTGTTCTCAGGATTCTGGAATTTGATTATCCATGGCACAAGCCCAGATATGGGGGCTCTTTTCTGCTGATTTTGGGCTCTCAGTGCCCTCATTGACGCTGATTGTGGGGTCTCACTGCCCTCATTAACTCTGATTTTGGGCTCTCAGTGCCCTAATTAACGCTGATTTTGGGCTCTCATGCCCTCATTAATCCGGATTTTGGGCTCTGGTGCCTTCATTAATTTTGATTTTGGGCTCTCAATGCCCTCATTAATCCTGATTTTGGGTTCTCACCGCCCTTATTAATCCTAATTTTGGGCTCTCAGTGCCCTCATTAACACTGATTTTGGACTCACTGCCCTCATTAACGCTGATTTTGGGCTCTCACTTCCCTCATTAACGCTGATTTTTGGCTCTCACTGCCCTCATTAACACTGATTTTGGGCTCTGGTGCCCTCATTAACGCTGATTTTGGGCTCTGGTGCCCTCATTAACCCTAATTCTGGGCTCTCACCGCCCTGATTAATGCTGATTTTGGACTCTCACTGCCCTCATTAATCCTGATCTTGGGCTCTGGTGCCCTCATTAATTTTGATTTTGGGCTCTCACTGCCCTCATTAACACTGATTTTGGGCTCTTGGTGCTCTCAGTGCCCTCATTAACGCTGATATTGGGTTCTCATGCCCTCATCAACGCTGATTTTGGACTCTCTCATTAATCCCGATTTAACCAGGAAATCAAAACAGGGAGAGAAAGCAGAGAAATCCAAAGCAATCCTCTCATTTGAGGAAGTTTTTCCCCTCGGAATATTTCCTTTGGCATTCTCTTTGTTCCGAATTCCAGGGAGAATTTCTGGCAACCTACGAGTACAGCGGCCACCGCTATGGACTGGCAAGAGAAACCCTGGAATCCATAGCCAGGGAGGGGCTGGGTGCCTGTGTCCACCTGGAAATTGAGGTGAGCATCACCATTTCTTCATGGGATTTGGGACAGCACCAGAGGGAACAGCCTCAAGTTGTCTTCAGGTTGGATTTCCTGAAAAATTCCTTCCTGGAAAGGATAACGAAGGATTGGAACGGGCAGTGGTGGAATGGAACAATTCCCATCCCCAGGAATTGTTCAAGGAACACGAGGATGTGGCACTTGGGGACATTGGTGGCCTTGGCAGTGCCGGGGGGATGATTTTAGGGGGCTTTTCCAGCTTTTCCTGCTGGTCTGGTTTTTAAATTTTCAATTTCTGGTCTATTTTATTCAACTTTCAGCATCAACAGCACTTCCCATTCCAGCACCCTCAGCTTTCCAGCCAGGAGATTCCCACCCATCTCCACCCTTCAGCAGGACCAGTCCAGATCACCCCTAAAACAAAAAACCTTTTTCTCCTTTGCTGATGAAACCACAGAGGGCTTGAGGCAATATTTGGGGCAGAACTATCAAAAATTTCAATTTTTTTTTGAGGGGTTGCTCTGTCCTCTCAGAGGTTTGTCAGGTCACAGTACTGGGTCACAAAAAAAGTATCAAAACCCCTCTCTTGGAACCCCAAAATCTGAAGTTTTTAAGCTAATTTTCTAATTAAACTTCTCGTTCCCTTTTATCAACCTTTATTAGCTAGGTGAGGTGACAAAAGGGAAAGACATTCTGAATTTCCTTCCAAATGGTTTCTTCAAAATAAGCTCCAAATAGGTGAAATTCCAAAATGAGAGGCTCCAGAGAGTGCCTGGAATGTGGCACTGAGTAAAAAGAAAAAAAGAGAGAAAAAAGAAATGCAGGAGAGTGCAGGGCTAACGCAGGATCCTGAGCTGAATTTTTAAATCCTGAGCTGATTTTTAAAATCAAAAACTGATTTTAAATTTCATGAATTACAGAAAGATAATTTTGTTTGGGAAATTTGTGATCAAAACAAAAACCAGTTTTTCAGCTGAGTAAAACAACAGAGATAAAAAGAAATTTGGTCAAAATCTGGTCAAAACCTGGTCAAAAACTTACTTTAAATTTCATTAATTCCAGGGGATAATTTTGTATGGGAAACTGGTGATCAAAACAAAAATAAAATTGATTTTTCAGCTGAGTAAAACAACAGTGATACAAAGAAATTAGGTCAAAATCTGGTCAAAACCTGGTCAAAAACTTACTTTAAATTTCATTAATTCCAGGGGATAATTTTGTATGGGAAACTGGTGATCAAAACAAAAATAAAATTGATTTTTCAGCTGAGTAAAACAACAGTGATACAAAGAAATTAGGTCAAAATCTGGTCAAAACCTGGTCAAAAACTGTTTTTAAATTTAATGAATTACAGGAGGATAATTTTGTTTGGGGAACTGGTGAACAAAAAATAAACAAAAACCAGTTTTTCAGCTGAGTAGAACAACAGAGATAAGAAGAAATTAGCTCAAAACCTGGTCAAAAACTGATTTTAAATTTCATAAATTACAGGAAGATAATTTTGTTTGGGAAACTGGTGAACAAAAAATAAACAAAAACCAGTTTTTCAGCTGAGTAGAACAACAGAGATAAGAAGAAATTAGCTCAAAACCTGGTCAAAAACTGATTTTAAATTAAAATTTTAATTTTTAGGATAATTTTGTTTGGGAAACCGGTGATCAAAAATCTGATTTTCACTTTGACTGCCTTGGTGTTCTTGAGGAGTTTGGGCCCAAAAGAAATCCGTGCACATCCTCTGGATGTACAGAAATAAATGTACAAATAACACAACAAATGTATAAATAACACAACAGCAGCGTGGTGGCACTAAAAAATAAATATTTCCTCTCTGAAATGAGCAACAATTTAATGCTGCAATGCCTTCAAGTGCCTGTGGCTTGGCTGATATTAAAGAGCAAATTAATAACCTCATTATTAGATATATAATTATTATGTAATTAAACATTATATAAAATAATATTAAATATTATATAACTAAATATTGTATGAATTATGTAAATATTTATGTAATTAAATATAATTATATAAAGGAGCTGCAGCTCCTTTTTCCCCTCAGTTTTGATGGAGCCGTGAATCACACCCACAAATTACCAAAAAACCTGACCTGAACTACGACATTTTCCAACACCAAAAAAAAAAAATTAAAAACAAAACAAACACCCACAAAAAAACCAAAACAACTCTAAATTTGTCATATCTTCAAAACAACAAAAGATTTTGTAATTTAATATTATTCATTCTGGTGCTAAGTAGTGCTTTACCTATTAAATAAACAAGTTTTTTCCACTTTTCTCGAAGAAATCTCTTCCCAAACCAATTTAAAAATTAAAAAAAGCAACCACATAAACTTACTATATTTTAATTATTATATATTTATTATTATATAATTATATATATTATATTAGAATAAAATTATATAATTTCTAATATTTATATACTAGATTAATATTTATATATTAATATTATCGATAATATTAATGCTATTACTACATCATTAATATTATTAATATATTAATAGAGTAATATATAATATAATAATATTTATATACTAATAATATTATGTATAATTATATTTATATATATGTAATTATATATAATTATAATATATAATATATTATTAATAATAATATTAATATTATTAATATTGTTAATATATAATTCTTATAATATAATATATATTGTATAAATAATATATAATTTAATATAATATTAATATTATATTATTATATTAAATTATATTATACATTATATAACATAATATATAATATATATTATTAATGTATAATATTGGAAATTAATATGTAATATTTAATATACTAATTTAATAGAACAAATTTAATATATTTAATATAATATTTAATATACCTTATATTTTACTACATTTACTATAGTTTTGTATCCCTGCAATCTCTAAAACACAATAATTGTGAATTATGGGTGGGAATAGAAGGTGCTGAGTCCATTATCTGCTGCAGGGCTCAGAACAAAAGCGATTTAGTGCCATTAAAGGAAATTTTAATTAAGGGCCGTGGGCTGAGACTGAAAATTAAGAGTTATTAATTTCCTTTAATTTAGGGTATATCTTGGGCTGGTAAAGGAGACTGACACCAATTTTAAAAGTTAAAATCTTGCTGAGCCTACACTTGCAGTCGGAGAAGCTGCTGCAGGTCTGACTCTCAGTTCTGGTTTAAATTAAATTAAATTAAATGTTTGCAGCGTTTCCCCTTTGCTCCAGGAAAGCAAAGCAGAGCAACTTCCAGCCAGTAATTTGGGATAAAACACAGAGAAAAAAACAAAAAAAAAACCAAACTCAGTTTTTTTCCAACAAAAATCCAACAAACACTCAGTTTCAGGAATAAACCCCTGTGTTCCTCTGCTTTATTTTCATGAAATTTTCATGAAATTTTCACAAAATTTTCAATTTCATATTTTATCATGCTTCATTTTTTTTTGGAGACAAAACTCCAAGTTCAAGAAACAGCTGAAAAAAATCAGTTTCAAGGGGGGGAAAAAAACCAAAAACAAATCAATTTTTCTCTGCTTTGTTTTCAAGGGTGTTCGTAGCTTGAAAAATACCCACTTTAAACCCAGATACATCCTGCTGGTGCCGAAGGACAAAGGGAAATATAAAGAACACCTGAGGAGGACAGGATTGTTCAGCAGGCTGGAAATCGAGGAGGCGCTGTCCAGAGTGGACGTGTACCTCCAAATAAACCACGGCTTCCCCGGCTACTTCCATGCGCTCATCAACACGGGTGAGTTAATTGCTGATTGACTTTGGGGTAATTAGGAATTGTGGCGGGTGGGAGAATCCCTTGGGAAAAGAATCCCTCGGTTCTCATGGGTCACCTTCTGTGTTGGTGGTTTTTGGGGTTCTCCGCGTTAAATCAGAGCGCTGTGGGGTAAAATATTGCAAATTTGGAGTTTGCGATTTAAATACGGCCCTAAAAAAATAAAATAATAGGAAAATATTTAGGTCAGTGCAGAGCCTGAATTTCAACCTTTTTTGAGCTGTTTATGAAAGCTTTCCTCCCTAATAGATATTAAAAATGTATTTCTGTGCCAAAAAACATCTGTATTTCTGTATTTTCTGGGTGAGTTAAAAATGTATTTCTGTGTCAAACTGGTGTGATTTGTATCTTTGTGCAGATGATCTGGACAAGGCGTTCACAGAGCTGACTCACCTTGTGAAGGTCTACCTGGGCTTGGAGCCACCTGAAATTCTGGACAACATCGAAGGCGTCAGGAGCAGGGCAGGTAAAGGGGCTGGGAACTCCTGGTTTTATCAGCAGAATATTCCTATTTATTGCTAATTGATGTCCTGAGATCTGTAAATGATGCAGCCTGGGAGAGCTGAAAGCTCCACGAGCTGCTCTGCAATGGCTCTCCCAGGCTGGTTCCTCCAGGAGGATGGGTTTGAGCTCTGGATGGAGTTTCCTGACTCCTCTGAGGATAGTTTTGGGCTCTGGATGGTTTTCCTGACTCTTTTTTGGGCTTGGATGGAGTTCCCTGACTCCTTTGAGGATGGTTTTGGGCTCTGGATGGTTTTCCTGACTCTTTTTTGGACTCAGATGAAGTTCCCTGACTTCTCTGAGGATGGTTTTGGATTCTGGATCTCCTATTCCTGATAAATCCCAAGTGAGGGGTGCTGGGAACCAGGGAATCCTGGTTTTATCAGCAGAATATTCCTATTTATTGCTAATTGATGTCCTGAGATCTGTAAATGATGCAGCCTGGGAGAGCTGAAAGCTCCACGAGCTGCTCTGCAATGGCTCTCCCAGGCTGGTTCCTCCAGGAGGATGGGTTTGGGACCTGGATGGAGTTGCCTGACTCTTTTTTGGGCTCAGATGGAGTTCCCTGACTCCTCTGAGGATGGTTTTGGACTCTGAATGGAGTTTCCTGACTCCTCTGAGGATAGTTTTTGACTCTGGATAGTTTTCTGACCCTTTTTTGTGTTCGGATGGAGTTTCCTGACTCTGAGGATGGTTTTGGGCTCTGGACCTCCCATTCCAGATAAATCCCAAGTGAGGGGTGCTCATGGCTGAACTTTTTGCCTCCCAAACTTGAGCAAGAAGAGACTGGGATGACACTGGGATCTCACTTTTTTCCCCAGGATGGCACAAGGAGCAGGAAAATCAGGATAATAAGATGAGAAGACAACTTAAAAATCCACTCCAAGTGATTCTGGGGTGACCCACTGTTCCCAAATTATCTGTGGTGTGTTTGAAAGAAGCTTTTTAACCCCTGAACAGCCGAGGCTGGAGCCTCATGGCCACTTCCATCTAATCCAAGTGCTTGCTGTCATTCCTGCTTTTTTTGGGTCAGGGAATGGTTCCATGCGAAATTTCATGGAATTCCTGAGTGGGAAGGGACCCACAAGGATCACCCAGGCACAGACACCTCAACAATCCCACCCTGGGCATCTCTGGGAGCGTTGTCCGAACACTCCTGGAGAAGTTTTAGGAATGTGCCCATTCCCTGGGGAGCCTGGACAGTGCCCAGCAGCCTCTGAGGAAAAAACTTTTCCTAAAATCCAACCTAAAGCTGGCACAGCTCCGGTTGTTTCCTGTCCCTGTCACAGGGAGCAGAGATTGGAGAGACCCCGAGGAGTCTCCCCTCAGCTCCTCCTCTCCAGGCCAAACAAACCAAGTGCCCTTGGACCCTCCTCATGTAAATTCCTAAATTAACACGGGAAAAACGAACCCCAAATCTCCCCCAAACTTTCAGACAGTCTAAATATTTATTATTTATTTATTATTTTTTTATTTATTAATTATTAATTTAATCATTAATCCATGGGCTCCAGGAGGGAACGGGAGGGAGAAGAACTTCAGTAGAATAAAAAAAAATAAAAATAAAAATAAAAAAAGGCATTATGGTAAAAAGAGGATGTGCAAGATGAATGAAAACGAATCTCATTTTTAGGAATTTTTTCCCTCTGACTCCAGGAGTTTCCATTTATGGATTTGTTTCCATTTTAGATCCGTTGGAACAGGGTAGAGAATCAGTTCCCCGAGGAACGCAGAGCCAATATCCACGGCCTGCGTGGCTTGGGAGGGCTGCAAGTAAAAGTAGCTGAAAAAAGGGCAAAATGTCTGAAAACTGTAATAAAGGACAGTGCAATATTCATCAGTTCATCATTTCATGTAAATTTGGATCCTGGAAGAATTAATAATATTAATTTCCCAGTGGACTCAGGAAAAGCTTCTGCACACATTGTGGCTTCTCAGAGCTGCAGCAGTGAGGACTCGGCTGAAAAATCTTATTTAGCCTTAAATTAAGTAGATTTTCTTTTAATTTCCAGAACTTCCACGTTCATCTGAAATGAAAAAGGTGATTTCCTTGCCTTATTTGCTATAATATTGTATTTTCTTGCCTTAAAATCTCCGGGGACGTTTTGTCTCGAAGGCAACAAACCCCACCAAAACCCTGGAGAGATTATTAGAAAAGAAGAAAAAAGGGTGAGGATTGAAAAGAAAAAGATTTTTTTATATGATCCTGGTACTTTTGGAGATAGATTTAAGTATCTGAAGCGCCTTTAAAGGACTTTGTATTCCTCAGCAGCTCTTTCAGAGAGTGACTTGTCACTACAGAAACTTCATTAACACCGCAGGATTTGGGCAATTCTGCTGCTCATAAAGTAACTTTTAAATTTACTACACACCATTAAATTCACTTAGAGCCCCATTTATCCGTGTTTAAATAAGTCCAACTCTCCTATTTCTAGAGATCCTCTCTTCTCATGGACTGTGGGAAATAATTCCTTTTCCAAACCTTGTCCCAAGGTTGATTTTAAAAGGGACTTTTTAGTGAGATTGGAGCAGGGGGAAGATAAGTTGTGGGGAGATTATGAGAGGTTTATAATTCTCTTTTTTTTTTTTTTAATGAACTGCTGGGTAAGATCTTTTGTTGGTGAACAGAGTAAAAAAAAATCCTGGGAGAAAATAGATAAGTTCTTTTAAAAAACTTTCAATAGCAGAAGTAGAACATTTTTTTTGGAGCTGATAAAGTTTTGTACTTCCCTTGGCAACTTTTATCCATGGGATCCAGAGATTTGAAACTATTAAAATCCTGGAAGGATCTGGGTTGGGAGGGAATTTAAAGCCCATCCAGTTCCAACCCTGACACCTTCCACTCTCCCAGGGTGCTCCAAGCTGGCCTTGAACACTTCCAGGGATGAGAAATCCATAACTTCCCTGGAAAACCAGTGCCAGAGCCCTGAGTGGAAAAAATGCCAAACAAAAAATATTTAAAATGCTATTTCCACGGCTTTGTTTCATATTTAGATGTGATTTTATAGACAGGATAGAAGTATGGGATTTTTTTTTTTTTCCCTTTGCAATTTTGGAATAATTTGAATTATTGAAAATCATTTTGGTTTTAAGAACTGAGTTGTGTGGAGAGACCTCAAGGCCCATCCAGTGCCATGCGCAGGGTCACCTTCCACTATCCCAGGTTGCCCCAAACCCCATCCAACCTGGCCTTGGCCACTTCCAGGGGTGGAAAACGACCCTTCCTTCCCGTTTGTGCTCAGAATATTTTCGCTGAGGATTGTTTTTTCCCACCCCAGGTTCCAGATCTCCGCTCTTCCCAGAGGAAAGGTCGGGCAGAGGAACTCCTGTGCGCATTCGCTCTCCATCCCTCGGTGACTTCTTGGACCCTTTTCCCAAAACCTATCCCAGAGATCTGCTGGATGTGCTGAGTGCGCCGCCAGGCTCCGTGGTAAGGAGCGGCTCCTCCCGTCACCTCAGGAATGAGGAGCTGGAGTCAAACCTTTCTTTCTCCAGGGAAAACTGATTCCTGTTCTCCGCCCCATTTCCATTTCAACAATATATCACAGTTTTCCTCAATCGTGGAATGGTTTGGGTTGGAAGGGGCCATAAAGATCATTGGCAGAGATACCTTCTGGAATTCCTGTTCACATTCCCAAAAAAAAGGTGAAGGAGATGAGACAGGAAGTTTTGGAACTGAGGGATTTAGGACAGGAGTTGTCTCTCCCACCACAGCTCTGGGTTGGATCAATTTAGGATTCAGGCACTAAAAAGGATTTAATTTTTTTCCCATAAATACTCACCCCTGCCACAGCAATAAAAATAATGGGGAGAAATCCAAATCCCAGGATCTGTTCCCTATTTTTTCCAAGATTTGGCTGAGCCTCTTGGCTGTGGTGGAATCCTGGAATGGTTTGGGTGGGAAGGGACCTTAAACTCATCCAATTCCAGCCTCTGGACACTTCCCACTATCCCAGGGCGCTCCAAGCCCTGTCCTTGGACATCTCCGGGATTCCAGGGGCAGCCACAGCTTCTCTGGGAATTTCTGTCCAGAGCTTCCCCACCTTCACGGGGAAGAATTCCTTCCCAAAATTCCATCCAACCCTTCCCACTTTCAGCTTAAATCCAATCCCCCTTGTCCTGTCACTCCGTTCCCTCGGGACTGAGGCAGCAAAACTCAGAGAAGAGCACAAATTGTTGTTTCCAGCCTGTTTTTACTCCAGAATAAATCCATGAATGATTCCATCCCTCTGTGAACTGGTGTAAGGAGCAGAATCTCATCTCCCACTTCTACACAACGACGTGGAATTGTCCTGTTTCGGGAGAATAGCTGGATGCACTTCACAGGAGCATTCCTTATGAATATTCATAAGGAATATGATTTATTCCGTATGAATATTCATAAGGAATATGATTCATATTCATATATAATATATATTAAAATATATTATATATATTCTATATTATATGTAATATACAATGTATATTATATATAATATACAATAATAGTATAATTATATATAATTTTATAATTATATTCTAAAATAATAGTATAATATAATATAGTTATATATTATATAATTATATTATATAATATATATATTACTGTATAATAATTATATATATAATTACATATAATATAATTATATATACTATATATTATATATCATTATTATAATATAATAATTTATTTATATATTTTTAAAATTTATATCTATAATATTCATATATATTAAAATATATTATATATATTATATTATATATTATATATAATATATAATATACAATGTATATTATATATAATATACAATAAGTATAATTCTATATAATTATATAATTATCATTATATTCTAAAATAGTAGTATAATTATATAATTATATAATTATAATTATATATCTTATAGATAATATTATAGATTATATATATAATATGTACTATATATTATATATAATTATTATAATATAATAATTTATTTATATTTTTTAAAATTTATATATATATATCTCTATAATATTCCTATTCCTTATGAGCATCATCCCAT